CTGGACAAAGTGCTGTGATGAGAACTAGAAATGTGGATTTCTTCTGTTTGGGAAAATTCCCTGCTATTATTCCTTCGAACATTGCCTCTCTCCCAGGGTCTCCTTCAGAACTCCCACAGAGTTATGTCAGAACTGCTCATGCTATCCCTTGTTTCTCAACCTCTCTTCTTTTGTGCTTTTTGCTCCATTCTGAGTAATTCCTTCAAATATATTTTCAAGGCTACAGATTCTCTCTTCTGCTATATCTATTCTATGAATTAACCCAACCATCGAGTCTCTAGCTGTTCATTTGCAGAAGTTGTGTTGCTTTCCTTTAAAATTCTACCCGAAACCCCAGTCTCCGCATTGTCACGTCCTGGCCCTAAAATCAAGAAGTCTCCACGGGCCCTTGGCCACACCTCCTCTTTGGGAGCCTGTGTCCCAAGCTGCGGAATAAGGTGGATGTAGGAGAAGAGCTTTCATATTGTGCCCTGGGGCCCCAGCCTCAGCGTGGCGGTAGCACTGGGGGGCTCTCTCAGACCCGCTCTGTTTTATACCCTGGCTAAGATTTCTTTTGAACCAAGGGTTTGGAAGGAAAAATGTCTCAAACTGCTGGGCTATGGGAGCTCTAAGCTCAAGTTGAAGTCTGTGAATCTGTGTGTAGATCTTCGCTATGATAATGTTTTGTGTTGTAAGGACCTCTTTTATATTTCTATTTTAGCCAGAGGCTTCCATTGAAGTTAAACAATAACTTTGTTGTTTAACCCTTAAACTGTCCCTGCTCCCCTTCCCCCAAGGGACTTAAAAACAAGTCCCAGAAACTAGCTCCAGGCGTGAAGGCCAAGAAAAACAAGACTGTACCCACCTCGAGCCTAGCCCTGACATAAGTACAGCCATCTTGGCAAAGCAAAAGCCAGCACCTTGCACTGTAAGAGTGGGTTAGCATAAGAATGGCCATCCTGAAGGCCCGGAAGCCATTTCACTGAGCGTCCCTAACCAGCCCACAGGGCGTACGTGACTTGAGACAAGAGAAAGTAGCTAAAACCCGAAAAAACAACTTAATCATATACCACCAGGGCGGTTAGGTGGTGGTGCTACCCGGACCAAATGTTAAAGAAAAACAAATAGTTAACTTGCAGAGATCACAATCCTGCAAGACAGGAATCTCCATTGGTTTGCAAATGTCCTGGTGATTTACAACAAAAAGGCCATCTCTTCAACGGCCCAATTTCCAGAGACAAATGGCTCAGTGCCTCGAGGCCAAAGGTCGCCCTCCCCACCACAAAACTGTGGGAGGCTGAAGCAGAAGGAAATGTAGTTAAGGTGAAAGTTCTTCTAAATCTCACTTAACCGCCAGGGTGACACCGGGGTGGCAAAAAGGTTAAACGAAGTTAAACTGTCAAAGTGGGACGCAAGAGATGTATGTAGCCATGAAGAAGGGCCTTGAAAATGCTGTATAAACCCTTGGCGTTGAGTGCTCGGGGTCCTTGTTGAAACCCACTGCGCCGGGCGGATACTTGGACCCCAGCGAGCTGGAAATAAACCTCGCTGTGTGACTTGCATTACCGAGAGTGTTCTCTGTCTAAGTGAGGGGTGGTCGACTCCGTACCCTAACAGTATAACCTGTTGAATCTGTCAATAGTCTTTAGATTCATAGGTATGAACACAAGCTCTCGACTACCTGGGGAACTGGGCCCTCCGGGTTCTGCAGTGGCCAGTGAAGACAACCCCTGTTTTACTTCCTGACCATTTTTTTCAAAACTTGTAGAAAGCACTTAGTAAGTTATGATAGAATTGATAATAAATGAATACACGAACAGATGGTCAGACTGGTGATGGGGCTCAGGACATGCTCCCCTCAAATTCTGGCATTGTGACAGACCGAACATCTTAACCTCAGTGTTTGAAAAAAATGGCAGAAGCAGGAAAGTCACTCTGACCCTACCCTGTCCTTTCCTGAAATAGGTCCTGAATCTCCTATGTGAAAGGTGTTCTCCCTGTACCAGGAGGAAAGAAGATGATTCTTATCACCAGAGACAGGGAATTTATAGCCAAGAAATCTGTATAAACAAACCTTGTTAATTTAACCCTTAACTTCCTGGTTATTTCTTCACTATTCACTACCCCAGGCCAGACCCTTTGTCTTGTCAATTCCTTTTTTTTTTTTTTTTTTTTAGATTTTATTTATTTGACAGAGAGAGAGAGAGCAAGCACAAGCAGGGGGAGTAGCGGAGGGAGAAGCAGACTCCCCACCGAGCAAAGTGCCTTATGCGGGGCTTGATCCCAGGTCCCTGATATCATGACCCGAGTGGAAGGCAGACGCCTAACTAACTGAGCCACCCCAGCACCCCTGTCTTGTCAATATTTCACACATTTATTGTTTTTTTGTGTGAAAGTTATAAAAGCTCCCTGGTCTCGTCACTTTCTCAGGCCTTCCTTCTCTTGTGAAGGTTCTCGTATACATGTACAAGTTTGAGAAAACATACATGCTTTTTCCTCCTGTTAATCTTTGTCAGTTTAATTTTCAGACCCAGCCAGGGACCCTAAGAGGGCTGAGGAAAATTCTTTCCTCCCCTACACTCGCCACCCCCTCCCTCTCTCTCTGAATAATTAACCCAGTAAACAGGGAATGAGAAACACTGATGTTACACATGGTCAGACTTCACTAATCCTTGAGTCAGGCACTGTGAGTACCCCCACTTTTCAGGTGAGAAAACTGAGTCACGGTGAGGTTAAGAGACTGTCGTGTCTCTTACCCAGCCAGTCCCGGGTTGCAGTAGGGATTTGATCAAGGCTTGCTGGCTCCAGGGCCAGTCTGGAGGGAGGCTGGGAGAGTTGGGATTTTGAGGCTATCCTGGGGACTGACTCATAGGATGGGCCTAAGGTGGGGGCTCCTGCAGGTACGGATGGCTCTGGCCCCGTTTTGGCCAACAAAAGACAGTGACCTCTCCCAGGACAAGGGCTTGCCTCTGGTTCCCTCAACTGGGAGGCTCAGCTTTGTGAAAACAAGAAATACAAGATTTGGAAAATAGCCAAGTGGCTTCAGCCCTCACTGACAGGAGACCAGAGGCATGAGAAATTTCCTTCCTGTGGCCAACAGTTTCCGGAATGGCAGACGCTCTAGACTAAAATACAGCGTACTTCCAAGTGTCTACAAAAGCTGGCCTCACAGTGAGAAGCCAATGTGAGACGCCCCATTTTCTCAGTGTGGCTCATCTGGCCTTTCCTTGAACTTGGCCTTCTGACGCCCACCCTCTCAGTCAGTGGCAGATTGAGCCCCAGGCTGCTCAGGCCCTAAACCTTGCAATGGTACATTCTTGTTTTTCTCTTCTGTCCTGTCCATGGGTGAATCCGGCACCTTGCCTTCAGAACATCTCCAAGAGCAGCCCTGGTGGGCGAATGCCTTTCAAACCCACTGGCTGGGTACCAATGAGCCTTGAGGCTGGAACACTTCCTTACCAGGGGATAAAGAGCCCATGACAGCCTGTGCTGACCTTGTCACCTCGTGTGGGAATATCATCCCGTTTCAAGCCCAGGTTTGTTCTTTTGTTCTGATTACACATGCGTGTCTCATGGCACCTCTCCTGCCCATGGCTATGTCTGTCCTCCAGAGGAAGGGGAGTGTCCTTCCCCTGTGGCAGGAGAGAGGTGAAGAGTGAGCCCACTGCCCTGTGTCAGTTACTGCCAGCCCTAGGGGACCGATGCGACCCCCCCCTCCACCCCCTGAGGCTGATCTGGTGAGTAAAGCGTGGTCCAGCCGGTGCCTGGACCAGTGCGTGGCTTTCCTTGGCTTTTCCTCTGATTGCTCTGACAGTGGGCAGAACCGCCTGATGTCCTTCCCTGCAAGGGACAATCGGTGCCAGGTGTTCAGCTCAACACGGCCACTTGTCACCATCCGCATCTCTGCCTCCCAGCCCAAGCACCAACATTGTCCTTTTAGAGTGAGAGTCAGGTTGTGTCCCATTCTGCCCAAAGCCCTGCAGCAAACCCCATCTCACTCAGAACAAGCCGAAGTCCTCAAAATGACCTACTAGCCCTTTGCTACCTGGTCCCTGTCGCCTTTCTGACCTCATTCCTTCTTCCCTCCCTTGGCTCTAGCCACTCCAGCCTCCCGACCGTGCCCAGCCACAAACCTGCTCAAGCCTTCCTGTGAGCTGTTCCCCTGCCCGGAACCTCTCACGCCAAACGAAATCCGCGCCGCACCCCCCCCGCCCCGCCCCAAGCTAGAAGACTCCTAGCTCCCATAGGCTCTTGGTTGCTTGTTGAATGAATGTTAGGATGACAATTATGAGACCAGCTGTTTGGAAAGACATCCCACCAGCGGCCCTCACTGTCCCTCTGTCTCTGATGGCACTCTTCTTGCAGGACAGCCCTCCAGCTCCTGGGACCATTTGGCCTGCATGGCCAGGGAGCCAGAAGAGCCTAGAAGATTAAGTCACTGTCCCCAACTATGGGGCAGCCCTTGGCCAATGACCAGAAAGCCTGGGCCCCCTTGCTTTGCACCAAGCCAGACACTGCGTTCAGTGTCTGCTTCTGGGGACCCCTACCTAAGACGGGGGCCTTCCTTGAACCCCATAAAGATCTGGTTGGACTTGAGGATCTGGGACTATGAAGAACCGGACTCTCTGAACATACCCTCCCCTCCGCTTGACACAGGCTCTATTAGCTGTGCCCCCACTGCCCCCCCCACCTTTCTATTCCCTTTGGAAACTGACATACTGACCACATAACCCAGGGGAAGGCACAGCACAACCTGCCGTGTGCCAAGACCCGGTCTGAACAAGAGAACCGGAACTGGGGTTTTTAGTCCCATACCCCAAACGCCACACTCCTCCCCTACCCAAGGCTGCCTCAACCACGGACTTGAAGGATTCTCCGTCTAGTCCACACTTCTCTATTCCACTCCATACACACTCGTGAACGATATATGGTATTGCTTGGAGGTTTTAAATTCAGGCCAACACTCTCGCGTTGCTGATACCATCCTGGAATCTGTTTTGCTCACAACAGGGCGACTCATGTCCACAGAAAGAGGGTCTGGTTTATTCCCACAAACTGCCAAACCACAGCCATACAATGAATGTGCCACAGATTATCTATTTGTCCCATTCTGATGGTGGAGCTGTTTCCGGCTTTCCTGCAGCTGCAGCCACTCTGGTCCAGAGCATGGGTCCCTTCCCAGGGGTCTCTTCTGGAGCTCTTGCCTCCTGACTGAGGACTCTTAATAAGTCTATTCCCTGAGAGCAGGCACCAGAGTTGAGCCCTGCAGCCCTCATGCAGCGGTAACAGGTACCGAGCCCCAGGGCATGGATGGATACAGGACTGTGGTGGGGTTGTGCACTAGGCCTTGATCTCTCTGTACCGGAGACAAGCCAGGATGGCCTGGGAGATCCAGAGGTCAACACTCCAGTTGATGTAGATTAGAAACCTGGCCATGGGGCGCCTGGGGCTTCTGGATGGGTGTTGGTCCCAGTCGGCCCTGAAACCAAGACACGGGGTCTGCCAGGAAGAGGTCGCCCCTTGCCTACTGACCCCACATCGTCACAGGATCACGGAGCCACCCGCCAGCTTCACTGTGGCTTGGGGAGCTGCAGGGCCAGGCACTACACATGCGGTTCACATCATCACCCCCAGGGCTGGCACTGGCTCTTTCCCAGAAGACACTGAGGTCAGAGACGTTAAGTCGCTCAAAGGCACACAGCCAGAAAGTGGCTGAGAGGGAGGCAAACTCATACCCAAGTCATCAGACTCAGAGACACGGATGCCCACTGGCCGCACTGAACAGCGCCCTCTGCTGCTGGAACCGAGGCTAGGCCAAAGCTGGGTCACCAGCATGTGTTTCCTCCAGCCACAGCAGGCCCGGCAGCTAAGCCTCGCCAGCTTCTCTACGGGTTCAAAGGAGAAATCTTCCCAGGAATGGCAGATCCAGGCCCCAGCACAGCTGGGAGATTAACTATGGCTCAAAACACCCCAGCTACGGATTCCCCAGCCCTGAGTGCCATGGCCATGGGAAGGGCAGTTGGCGGCCATGGGGGTTCTCCGGGCTGCAGACGTCTCCTGCCTCCAGCCCCAAGGTCCCCAAGCACCAAGTTACTAGGCATGAGAATCACAGGGACCTCACTTCTATGCTGGACTGCTCTGGGGGCTGACTATGACCCAAAGCTCTCAGAGCTTCTGTGGGCAAGGTTAACCAACTGTGGGCAAGTCCTGGCTCAGGTATGGCTGGATAGGGCTGCACGGAGCTGCTAACGGACGTGAGGAAAAAGACCACGGTTGCCAGCCTCAGACCAGTGGGGTACTTCGAAGGGAGCGGAGGCCTCAGGGAGTCTGGGATGGGTGTGCACGGGGCTCCTGGCCACTCAGGGCACTTGCCTGCGGTGATGGGGAACAGGAGAACACAGTCCAGGAAAGGGGCATGGAGGTCAGGGACAGCTCTGGAATACCATCCGAGGCACAAGGAGGGCGATGCATCCTGGGCCATCTCTGGGGTCTGCTCCACTGGCCCCTGCGCTGGGCCAAAGCGGACTGGCTTCAGTACCCTTGCGGGGAGTGACCCCTCCCGTCTGAGCCTACAAAGGGGTCTGTGGGAGCCTCTGGTGAGTCAATCGTCTGGTAGTCACTGCGCTCCTGTGACAGTCCAAGGAAACCTGGGGGTGGGGGGGAATAAGGGGGGGGAGGAAAAAACGAAGGGTGAAGACTCACGACGGTCTACTGTAAGTCCAAACCAAGATTCACCAGGAACGACAGTGACGGTGGCAGCAGCTCCCCCAGCTTTTAGCAGGTGTTCAGCCAACCGTCCCATAACCTCCCAGAGCAGGTATTGGGCGGCCCCACTTTACAGATGGAGAAACTGAGGGTCAAAGAGTTGAATTGACTTGCCCTCAGTACGGAGCTTGAAGCAGAGGACACGGAAATTCAAGCCAAGGCAGCATAAGCCCAAGGCCAGTGCTCCTGGCCATCACGCTGGGGCCTTCTCGGAGCAGCACGCATCTGAGCAGAGGGACGCCCAGCCCTGGGCTCACAGCCTCCTCTCCCGGGCACAGTGGACACTGTGTTACTGGATCCAGAAGGCCCAGAGCTGGCACAATTTGCACAGCCCAGGGCCCTGGGCTGGGGGTGCTGGTAGGGGCGAGGGCTCTAAGTGCCCATGCTCTTTGCTCCCCTCCCTGCCCTGCACACTTGACCCTGAACAAGTCCCAGGGGCTCTGGGCGCCAGCTCCCTCATCTGCCTAATGGAGAAACGTTACTGGGCCCCCCTAGCCCCAGGGCAGGTCAGGGCGGAGATCAGCCAGGGAGGCCGCAGGCCCCTCTTGCCCTGGCCCAGATGCTCCCCTCTGTGGGTCATGGGCCCCTCTGGGCCGCTCTTCTTGGGAGGGAACAGTGGAAGACCACCCCCCACTCTCTCCCCACCTCTCTGAGAGAAAGGAGATGAGCAGTACGTGAGAGAGAACAGGAAAACGGCCCAGCCACCATGAGCAGGGGGTGTGGGAGGGGCTGCGGTGGGCCAGGCTGAGGTGACCGGGATGTGAGCAGGGCAAATTCAGGGCCAGCTTCGGCCGAGGCTCCATGGTGCATGCCAGCAGCCCCTCTCTGTTGGCCACCCAGACCCCACATGGCAGAAGGGCAGGCTCTAGGCCCGCAGCTGGCAGGTGCTGAGAGGAGGGGCCAGCCGCGGGAATGCTGACAGGTCTCAGGCTGCAGGCCGCCCAGAGCCATCGGAGGGACTGAGGCACACCCAGCTGCATCGGCGCTCAGCGCTGGGGTTGAGACGGGGCTCTGGTCCCGCTGCCAACTCTGCCTGCAGTCGGACGCCCGGGAAAGCTCATGGGAGGCGGGGATAGGAGCACTGGGCTCGTGCAGCAGAGACCGGAGCTTTTATCCCTTCCAGCCTGGTTTTTGGGGTCGGCACCAGGCCCCGCCCCCACTGCCCCCATGCCTTGAGCCCTTGTTCCCAGGGCAAGGTCAGCTCACTTGGTCTGCGGGTCAGGCAAGACAGAGACAGGGGAGACGTGGTAGACGGCGCTGCCAGCACCCTGGCCGGCGAGAGGTCAGTCAGGGAGCCAGCCGGAGGTGGTGGCCTCACCAGTACAGAGCGGGAGCTCACCCCCGCGCTCCCGGTACATGTGGTAGACGAAGCAGCAAGACAAGGGCTTGAGGAGCAGGCTGAGGATGGCCATGCCGGCACCGAAGCGCTGTGTGTCCGTGAAGCTGGCCTGCCGGTAGAAGACGCTGATGTGGACGATGTCCAGGAAGATGGTGGCTGCCAAGTCACCGAGAAACTGCAAGGGTGACCACGTGCCATTAGGGTTTATGCCCTCCCTGATGCTCCGTCCCTTGCTCACGGCTGCCCTACCATGTAAGCCAGATGGAAGCTCTGCCCCTGCCCGCCTGTGTCCTTAGGTCTTGCTGGAAAACAGATTGGCTAGCTGGCAGGACCCGGGTCTGGACCCAGCCTGTCACCACTCCCCCTGTGATGTGGGGCACCAAACTTGGTTCTAGAGCCTTCAAAATGGAAGGTCCCTTAGAGTTCACTCAATCCATCTGCATCATGGGAGCCCCCTTTTCAGTCATCCCGACAGGCCCGTGTGGGAGCTCTCGCTGCCCCTCGGGGCTGTGTCCGCTCTGACCTCACGAGGTAGAGGAGCTCCCTCTCCATGGGGCTCCCACCCCCCCCCCACTAATAGGGCCCTAGAGGCGGGTTACTGGGGACATGCTCCAGTGCCCTCGAGAAGGAGCCAAGCTGGGGCGCCTGGGGGGACCCACCCATGCTTCCTTCGGGGAAGGCAACCAGCAGACTCAGGGTTCTCAGAGCCACGCAGGCCGAGAAACGGGCCAGGCTAGAGAGGACACACCTGGGCTGGTAGCTGGGGACGGCTTCTTCACAAGGCTTAAGAAATGGAAAACAGGGAGCAAGGTGGGGGGCCCCTTGCTTACAAGGAAGAGATAGGGCTGGGATGGGTGAGGGGGCAAGAGTGGGGGCCACGGACCACCCTGCTCCCCCCGCCTCACCAGACTTATGGCGTCGATGGAGTCCCGCTGAGCCACGGCCCACACGCCCACCGCCAGGATGGTGAAGTTGGCCCAGGGATAAGGGCCCGAGAACGTGATGCAGCCCCTGTGGGAAGGAGCACCCAGGTCATGTCCGGTGACCGCCCCACAGGGGCCCACCCCTTCCCCTCCCACAGGCCCCCTCTTTCCGGCTCCTGAGTCCCGGGCCCTCTTCGAGGAGGCCACAGGGCACTTGCTCTCCTCCTCCCCGGCTGGGTCCTGGAAACGTCAGCAAAGCCCATTGCCTGTATTTCCCAAGTGGATCCCCAATCTGGCCACATCCCTCCGGCTCCAAAACCCCATCCTCTCTGGCCAGGATTTCTCACCGCAGCCTCTCCCCGCGCGCCTCCTTACTTCCACTTCTGCCCATCCACGCCCTTCTCCAAACAGCCAAGAGTTGTGTAAATCTAGGGACGTCACTCCTCGGCTGAGAGTCTCCCCCAGTTTTCCTTCCCACTTGCAACAAAATACACTCTTCTCGTGGCCTGAGGAGCCCTGTGGGCCGCGGCCCGTGATGCGGTCGTCGCCCCCTTGTACCTCCAGCCACTTCCCGCACAGCGTCCTCTTCCCTGAACACAGCCCTGTTGTGGTAGTCTCAGCCCCGACGTGGACGCCGAGACTCGTTCCCAGACCGCCTAGTTTTAAATACCAGCTTGTGACTTCCTATTTTATTTTTTAGGGCATCGTTACCAACTACCATCTGGTAGGTTTACTTCTTGGTTCGTCAATCCAGTGAAAATATTAGTTAACACAGAGCCCCTAAAAATGTCCCGTGTGGTTCTTGATGCTTTAAATGAGCTCACTTACGTGCATTTATGTTAACAACTCTAGAAATGAGGCATGATTATTATCCCCATTTTAAAGATGAGGCAACTAAGGCACGGAGAGATCAAGTAACTTGCCTCAGGCCACACAGCTTCTAAGGGGCGGAGGTGGCCTTTGAATTCAGACAGCCCGGCTCCAGAGGCCGCGCCGTCGTCACCCACAGTAGTCATGGGAGCCCCCGGCACGCAGCGGGGCGCCTCATTAACTTACATGACTCTGAAGAGAACCCTACAGAGAACGTAGGCAAAGCTGTGAAGCGTAGAACAGGACTCGGCTTGGTAGTCGTTGAATAGGTCACTGGCCCTTTTGGGTTTTCTGGTTTGAGGGAGGCTGGGGGGGGGGGGGGGGGGGGGGGGGTGCCCAGACCACAACTCAGAATCTTCGGGGGTATGACTGAGAAGTCTCTATTCGGACCTTGCTTCCCCAAGTCATTAGCCATGACCTTCACCGTCTGCTTTATTCCCAGCCATTTTACACGTGCAGCGTACAGCGAGGTCGGCAACAGGCACACGGAAGCCAGCGGTCTGCAGTCCTGCTTCCGCAGGGCAACGGCCCCACAGCTCAGCAGGTGAAACAGCCAGTAATCATGAGATCAGTCCGTAATGCTTGAGCCTCCTCTGTTGCAGGGCCCTGGGGTCGGATGAACACAACACGCTTCTCCCACACGGCCCCTGAGGGCTGTGCCATCCTTATACCCATTTTACAGATGGAAACCTAAGATGGACCCGGGCTCACCCGGGACCTCGCCAGGTCCATCTGAATCTCTGTCTGCCATCTCTGGGCAGGAGTGTGATGTAAGACTGCAGCCCACCCCCAAGCAAGAGACCCCACCCCAGGTCTAGGGTCATGAAGTATCCACTTGCTGAGCCGGCTCCTGGACGCCCTCAAGAAATGTTAGTGGTTATTACAGTTTCTAAAGAGGGGCTTTCACCATCCAAGGAGCTTAGAAGGTAAATAGGAAGGTCGGTCATGCTCTCATTTTACAGGTGACAAAATGACCCGGGGAGTCTAACTGACGGACCCAAGGTCAAAGACACACAGAGCTCTAGCTGGCAAACACCCCTGGCTGCCTTGGGGAGTCCAGCAGGCTATGTGAGACTGGCCCCCGGCTTCAGCACCTCATACCTTCCAGATACAAAGGCCTTGAGGGAGGCACCAGAGTCACGCCAAGCCTCCAAAAGGACCTGAGCATGTCTGGAGGAGAATCTGAGCTGTGGGGACTTCCTGGGCCAGCCACCTCCCCTAGGATGAAGACTTGAAGCTTCTGGGTGTGTGTGTGGGGGGGTTAATGGCAGAGGCCTCTGGGAACTGCCTGTCCCTCAGACATTCTTGGGACCTGGGGAGCTTGCTGAGGACATTCTTGACCAAGCTGTTATTTAGTTCTGGAACTGGCAGGGAGACACGTGGACGGGAGCCTGGGGGGATGTGGACCCGGATCCCGGGAGACAGGAAGACACAGGAGTGGACACCTGCCAAGTCACTCACCAGGTTGTCAGTAGCCAGTGAACCAGCAGGATCATCTGCGGGAGGGAAAGAAAAGAACGAGGAGTGACACCACCATCTGGGGAGAGGTGGGGAGAGCTTCTGGAGGCAGAACACACAGGAAGCCCCTGTCTAGCACCTAACAGGGCTTTACAAATGTCTGTTAAAACAAAACAAAACAAAACAAGAGAACACCAGCAACAGTGAGCAAAGCAGGGGTGAAGGAGGAAGAGTGCATTTCAGGCCTGGGGGAGCCGCCACGTGGCTCTGCCCTACTCCCTTGGGGCAGCTACACCTCCTCCTGCTTCACAATCAGCTCTGGCATCAGAGGATATACCAGGACTGGAAACGGCTGAGGGGGAGGGGCGGTGTGGGACTCACAAGAGGCTGGTTTCTTGGCACACCGGGGCTGGTGTATGGTATGGGGCACAGGCGTTGTCTGCCCCGTGCATCAAGAGAGCACCAGAGGCAAAAGGGGAAAAGCAGGGGGAGGGGAGCGGGAGACCAGGGGGAGAGGCGGGACTTGAGGGCCTCAGCACCGAGCGTGGATTTCATCCTAAGTGCACGGAGGGAAGCTACAGAAGGCTTTTCTGCAAGCAAGGAACTTGGTAGGGTTTAAGAAAAAAAAAAAATCCCTCTGGCTTTTTTCTAGATTTCTGTACCTTTCCACAACCCCTTTCATTGTCCCGTACGTCCTTAAAATCACAGCCCCCTTTGCTAGGAACTTGTCTCTACTCCTGGTAATCTAAAGGGTCCTTCTTGGAAAGCAGATGAAGATGGAGGGAGCAGATGCTCTGGGGAAGGGAGGGCAGCTGTTGGCTGGAGCTCCCGAAACCGGAGGCCGCTCTGTATTCAGGGACAGGCAGGGACCAGCCAGGCCAAAGGGAGGAGAGCAAGGTGTTCCAGAGCCGGTACGTAGGAAGATCAATGGGGAGGAAGGACCCAGAGCCCAAAAGAGGAGGAGGGGATGGGCCCGAACCGGCAGGGGACCAGAAGTCCCACGTCAGGAGCTTCCATGGGGTCCCAGTGGTAGACGAGGGACCTTGAAGGAGTTACTCAAGGGACTGAGGGCATTAAGCGGGGGTGGGGGGGTGGGGGTGCCAAGAGCCTGGGGCGGGAGCAGTGTACCAGCCTGGAAACGAGGGCAGACACAGCAAGGGTGTGCAGTGAACAGCCCAGGCTTCCGGACCGGTGAAAGGGCAGAAGTGCGGCTTGCACCTGTAGGAAAAATCTCTGGCTGTGGAGGGGAAAGCCCTCCGAGAAGAGGTACTACTTATCGTACACTTGCTGTGCGCCAAACGCCTCACGCCCCCTTCTTCGGGCCTCGCAAGAGCCTCTGGAACAGACACCATGATCGTTCCCATTTCACACACGGGAAAACTAGACTCCAAGGAAAATTAAGCTGATCCAGATTCCACTGATGGTACGCGGTGAAACTCGAGTTCAAGTGTAAGTCTGACTCCACTGCTCCCAACCTTCACAGGGCGGGGGGAGACTGGGCTTTCAGCGGAGGGGAGCTTGTGACAAACGAGGACGTTTTCTGCACGTGGCGGGGAGCTCAAATCAGAGCAGGTGGCCGGGACGTCCCATCTTCACCCCCAGGCCCCGTGCCAGCGAACCCAAAGACACCGTGGCCCGAAAGCAAGGCGTTAGGCTGGGAGAAGAACTCTGCAAGGACCTTAGGGCTCCTAACCTTGCGGAGGGGCTGGGCCTCTGATGAGCCATGTCTACACCACAGAAGGCTGGCTCTAGAAGGCAGCTCTGTGACCGGCTGCCTCTGTTTGCTCTGGACGCTTCCTAAATGTGGCCTCCACGCTGTGTTCTGTATGCAGATGCGCTTAACCCTCACAGCCCACGGAGGCACCACTTACAGCTGAGGAACTGGGAGGCTTGGAGGCGAGTGACTTGCCCATGGTCACACAGCTGCCCCGTGGCAGAGCCACAGCTCAAACCTGACTGTGACCCTGGTACTGCCTGACCACTAGGCCTCCCTGGGGCTGGGCGGGTGTGCTCCTCCCATTACAAAGATGGGGAGACCGAGGGAGAGAAGGCTTAGTCGGCCATCGGTTTCTTTTCCCAGAGGCTCAAGAGACAGGATGAAATGGCGCTAAGTTTCTCAAACATTTCACCTGGCATGGAACATTCTGGAAATGGGAAAGAAGCCAATGTAGCTGGATGGAAGACAGACAGGAAGCTGGGGGTGGGCAGGACCAGGCCTGGGGATTGTGGGGAAGAATTCTGATCTTTATCTCAAGAGCCAACCACTACCCCCTCTGTCTTCACAGGAAACCCTGCCCACAGAGGGGAAAAACCCTGCCCCAAAGACCATAGCATGTGACCAGCTGCAGTGGTCCTGGTGTCCGGCTTTCAGACTAAGAGAAGATACCAAGGAAGGGAGCACGGGGGAGGCAGCTCACATGAACACCTTCCTTCTGAAAATCAACACCTGAGCCTTGCCCGCTGTTGGCTTCTGTTCCAGAAACCGTCTTCATTTTCAGGTGCTCTGGTTCTCACACCCAGACCACACACACAACGGGTCTTTAACACTTGGGTGCTTCTTGGCCCTGCAGAGCCCTGCTTGACGAAGGGGAGGTGAAAAGCTGAGACCCGGAAACCAGCGGATACGCAGGCAAGCCTGTGGGGAAGGGGCTCTGTGTCACCTGCGAGACAAAGATTTAGCCAAGAGCCAGAGAGACTTGTATCATGCAGTGAGCACCTGCCCAAAGTCCAAATTCAGCCACCTGTTTTGGGAAGAGCACAACCTGGAAATACAGAGGATCCCTAAGGACATACAGTGTCCCCTCCGTGTGCCATCACTTTTGTTTTATAGTTAAGAAGCTTAGCAGCTTTTGATCACATCTCTTAAGCCCCTGGGAAAAGAAAGCCCCAGAAGACAAAGTCTCCTCTTCCTCAGCCTCCCCATCTTTGTAATGGGAGGGCACAGCCACCCAGGCCTCCAGAGGCCTGCTGTCCAGGAGCGCTCCAACCAGCAACCCAGCCAAATGGGCCCAGCTCTTCCCGACACAGGAGGGAACACTGACTCATCTCAGCACAAAGGACTGTCTGCCCGCTGCTGGGGACGTTTCTGGTAACCAAGGGGACGCCAGGGATTCTCAGGTACTGCCTGAGAGACTGGGGGAGGGAGGCACTGGCCTCTGAGAATGTGACTGGGCAGCCCTTCCCGGCTGGGCCAGAGCAAAGACAGACCGGAGCTCCTGGACTCTTCATGTAGTGCTCGGCGCCTGGGGGCTGCCTGGTTCTTCCCCAGAAGACGGGGAAGGAGAGGGCGGATGAGCCAAGGCAGCCGGGGGTTGTAGGTGCTGGAGTGGAGGCCTGGGTTCTGGTCCAGGGGTCATGTCCCTTTGTGTCTGTGCCCCAGGTTTGGTCTCTGAATGGAGGCAATCCCTTCCTTCCCCCTCTCCCACCTGCTATCCCTCAACCACAGAGAAAGGCATCTCACAGTCACTGAATGAATCCATGTAATGACCACGTACTGACCGTAAGTACCTGCATGGAACAGGTATCCTGTGTTAACAGCGTTAACAACACAACTCCTGGTACCAGCCCGGACCTACCTGCCATGTGTCTGCACTGCCCTGAACACTTGGCCACCGTGTGGGGGGGGAGCAGTCATGTTCTGTTACTGATGAAGATACTGAGGCAGCGGGAGATTAAGCAATCGGCCCACACCGTGACGCTTACAGAAAGAGAGCTCAGAGCCAAGTGTCCCAATCGCTCTATCTGGTCTGACTTTTTCTGCTACTAAAAATGTACTGCCCCACCAGCTCTGGGACCACGGGATCCTCCTCTTATCACCCTAGAAGGTAGGGTTTATTTTTATCTTCTTTGTACAGTGAGGAAAGGATCCTCAGAGAAGTTAGGAGACCTGCTCAAGGTCACACAGCTAGTAAGCGGTCATAACTATGCTTTGCCATCAGGATCTCGAAGAGTAAGGGAAGGGAGGATGGAAATGAGGAGGTTTAACCAGAAGGGAAGGCTAAGGAGAAGCCAAGGGGATGTGGGGACCAGGACTCAGACCCTTTGTTTGCTACTGAAGGGCCCAGGGACGAATGGGGCAGGAGGAGACTTCCTAGACAGGCGGTAGACAGACCTAAGGTCGACAGATCAATATGCGGAATCCAGTTCTCTTAGTCCTGTGTAAACACAGCCCGTTACATGAGGTAGAAAGGTCTCCAAGGATAGCTGAGGCTGAGACCGAAGTGAGGAATGCCAGGCCAGGGAGGCAAAGTCAGGCAGTGGGCAACGAAGTCAGATATGCAGATTTGGTCCCAGGGAGCTGGGGCTCCATGACCGTGGACGCTGTGTGATCTTGGGCAAGTCACCTGACCTCTCGGAACTGCCATTTGCACTTTTATGAAGTAGGGACCATCACGCCTGTGTCACGGGGCTGTTCTGTGGATCTAGCGGTACAGGGAAGTGGAGAGGCATGCGAAACATACAACACAGTGCCCGCCAGGTAGTCAGCCCTCAGTGTGCGGCCATTCTCATCGCCACCATTAGGAAGTCGGCTTGCTGAGTCCTTAACCAAATGCTACACTGCTCCCTGGGCCCTCCTCCCTCGGCCTTTTTTCACAAGACCTCCTGAGCCCAAGTCTGCTCCTTTCTAAACTTGTCACAATGTCATTTCTCCCAGATGGAACTCAGTTAGGGCCCTTTGTGTGAAGGGCCTGGGGCAGCTGTTTCTGACCACTGGCACGACCGACCGCTCTGGCGGGGCTGGGCATGAGCAGGATTCAACCAAATACTATGGAATATGAAATGAGGGAAGGCAGGTCCACAGGGTGCGCTCTCCCAGCTCCCAGGCAGCCCTGATCTCACAACATCCCACTTAAGCGCCTACAAGCAAGGAGTCGACAGCCGCCCTCCCTAGGGTGGCCAGATTTAACAATAACAAAAATACAAAACGCCCAGTTCGTTTTGAATTTTGGTTAATAAGCCTTTTGTTAGTATGATCCAAATATTGCCTAGGATAGACTTACGCTGAAAAATTATCCACTGTTGATCTGAAATTCAAATTCAACAGGATGTCCTTTATGTTCCTGGCAACCTTGGCCCTTCAGGGCCTCCCAGCACTGACTTATCTCTGACTGGTGGCAGCTAAAACCTTTGGAAACACGGGGTCCTGTTTCCTAAGCCAAGGGAAGGGCACCCCGTTTCACTTTGGGGCAGAACGCCAGCACAGCTCATACCTGTGGACATGCTTGGACTGTAGGCCCATAAAGTTGCTCAAAAAAAAAAAAACAAACCCCGAAAACCAAAAAAGTCCCGAACAGACTAAGCCTTCCCAGCGGATGGAAACCATCAAAGCCAAAGCCAGCCCTAACTGGTGGCCAGGAAAGGGCAAGGCTTTGAAGTCTGACCCCAGTGGGTTCAAAGCCGGACTCTGCCACTTAATCCCTGTGGGACTTTGGCAAATTACTTATCTGCCCCAGCCGAAGTTTGCTCAGGAGTAAAAAAGGTGACAGTATCAGCTTTCTCAGAAGGTGGCTGTGATCAAATGAACTGCCTGGCACGCCACAGATGCTCCAGGAACCAGGGCTCCCTGCCCTCTCCGTTTCACCTGATGCTCTCTTAGGAATGATTTTAGGCAAAACTCTCATCAGAGAAAAGGCAGGGGGCACTGACTCCAGGCACTGACTCCAGAACACAGGGAATGCTGATAGGAACAAACCTCAGTTTCCTCCTATAAATCAAACTGGCTGGAAGCCTCTGGGAGGGAAATGAGGATAAGGGAAATCTGCCCCGTGAAGTCCTAGTAACCCAGACGTGGATCACGTGTACTTTTGTGCTCCTCTGTCCCTCCGAGGCCTTCGGTGCTGGGTACCACGTGTGCTAAATGCTTTGTCATTGCGAGTAAAAGGGCGTTTTCGGATACAGTCTCAAGGGGACAGCACCGTGACCCCAACTGGCAGGTTTGGGCCGACGTTCACACCTTCCTGCCCAAAGCTAAAGGCCCCAGCCCCTCTGGGGCCCGCGCAGCCCAGAAGCAGAGCCTGCCGGGGGCGGGGACAAAATGAAGAAGCCGCTGGCACCCAGGGGCTGAGGACATGCCACAGGAAATGAAGACAGCCCAGGAGGCTTCGCAGTGTCTCCCTAAAGGCACAAAGTTGGGGTTTTCTGCGTCTAAGTAACTTCTATTGGAGTTCCTGTTTCTTACGAAATTAGGACGCTGGATTTAAGCGCTTTGGAAACCACTGGTCTGGGCGTTTCGGGTTTTCTTAAGTTGATGAAGCTGACGAAGCAGCGCGGCGGTGCTGGACGTGCAGGTGGACCGTCCTGCCCCTCTTTCGGCGACGGGCAGGTGTCCGCCGCCGGGACCCTCCCCCCGCGCCCCGGGCTCTCAGGGCCCGCCCCGACCCCGCTACTCCCTCCCTCCCTCTCTCCAGGGGAATTCTGGGCGCGCAGGCCGAAGCGATCCTCGGGCTCCCGGGGCAAGCGGCCGGAGGCGCCGAGGCCGGAAAGGGGAACCGGCGGCCCTTTCCCTCCTCCAGCGCCTCCAGCTCGCCATCCGTCTTCCTGCGGGCCTTTCCCTGGATCCCTCTCCCTGCAACGGTCGGTCTGCCCACGTCCTGCCCACCCGGGGTCCACGTCTCTCGCTGTCCCCCTACCACCCCCTCCTGCCCGGAGCTGTCGATCCTCTCCCTTCTGAAATCCTTCTTGAAAAAATCAAACGTCCCCCCGCCCCGGCCGCACACTTTGGGGGACCCGCCCTGCCCGCACCGCGCCTTGCCCGTCTCCACCTTCAGGTTCACGGCAGGCAGCTCCATCCCGACCCGGCGGAGGGCACCTGCGCGGCAACCGCGGGGGCTCCTGGGCTCCAAACTCGGGAAACAAACTTGCGGGGCCCCGCCCCGCCCCGCCCGGCCACGTGAGGCAGGTCACGTGATCCCAGACCCGGTTGCTAGGAGACGGCGTCCCGCCGCTCGCGCCCTCCTCCGGGTTTCTTGCTCCCGCTACCTCCCACGCAGTTCGGCGGGCTGCTGGAGAGTATGGGGATCTGTGTCGCCAAGGGCGCGATATCTTGCTTGGTTAGTATCCCCACAGATGGACTGATGGGACCACCCGCAGCCGAAGAACTCGGGGGAACGTCCAGGTGCCAACAGCTGAAGTCTAACCCCGGAGGGCATCCTCTCTCCTTCCTCTGTCCTCGCTTCTAAGTGGAGACGTTGACTGTTCGTCTACCTCTTAGGATCCTTGTGGGGTTAGATGAACTCATTCATGTCGTTGATGAAAAAATTATTCTGACACTTGCTGGAAAGTGTAAGGGAGAGTTTATTCAGGACTGTTGCCAGAGGGGTATTGCAATAGGGGGAGAGTGCGGAAACTCGCTTTCCCGGACAGACAGCACAGGTGCAGACGGAGGGAAGGGATCGATGGGTGGAAAATACCTAGAGGAGATGTAAAGGGTAGGGAGAGTCTTGCTAAACAGCACGATTCTTGATAGAAGCAGCCCAGGACTTAGACACCAAAGATGGGGAATGGGGAACTTGATCAGATATGGAGGGTGACCAGATATCAAGGGTTGGGGGAAACTCGCTCAACTGACTCAGTAGGATTCTTGCTAAAACCAGATCCTGCAATCCCAGCAAGGACAGGCTGAACAGAGAAGGCCAGGCCTAGTTTAGAATAGGGCTCAGAGGAACCTAAGGAAAATTTGGTCAAGGATAGTGTCTTTGTCAAGGTCAAGTGCCCAGAACAGCATCTGCCACGTAATAAATGAGCAGTACGCACGAGCTATTGTTATTACCAATACAGAAGGTCATTATCGATATGATGGTTGGAGTCCGCTAGAGTCTGTATACCAGAAACTTTAGGAAAATCTAGCTGGAAAACCAGCAGGAAACCTATAGGACACACTTGTCTCCAGAAGGAAGGAAACTGGAGAACAAACAGATTTTATCTAAACACTGTCTACCCCTCAATTGTAAATGGGAAGAATCGAGGAAAGAAAAGTCTGTCTTAAAACAGACACATAGATCAATGGAACAGAACAGAGAGCCCAGAAATAGACCCTCAACACTATGGTCAACTAATCTTTGACAAAGCAGGAAGGAATGTCCAATGGAAAAAAGACAGCCTCTTCAACAAATGGTGCTGGGAATATTGGACAGCCACATGCAGAAAAATGAAATTGGACCATTTCCTTACACCGCACACAAAAATAGACTCAAAATGGATGAAGGACCTTAATGTGAGAAAGGAATCCATCAAAATCTTTGAGCAGAACACAGGCAGCAACCTCTCTGACCTCAGCCGCAGCAACTTCTTCCTAGGAACATTGCCAAAGGCAACAGAAGCAAGGGCAAAAATGAACTATCGGGATTTTATCAAGATCAAAAGCTTTTGCACAGCAAACGAAACAGTTAACAAGGGGCGCCTGGGTGGCTCAGTGGGTTAAGCCTCTGCCTTTGGCTCAGGTCATGATCTCAGGGTTCTGGGATCAAGCCCCGCATTGTGCTCTCTGCTCAGCAGGGAGCCTGCTTCTTCCTCTCTCTCTGCCTGCCTCTCTACCTACTTGTGATCTCTGTCTGTCAAATAAATAAATAAATAAATAAATAAATAAATAAATAAATAAAAAAGAAACAGTTAACAAAACCAAAAGACAACTGACAGAATGGGAGAAGATATTTGCAAACGACATATCAGATAAAGGGCTAGTATCCAAAATCTATAAAGAGCTTAACAAACTCAACACCCAAAGAACAAATAACCCAATCAAGAAATGGGCAGAGGACGTGAACAGACATGTCTGCAAAGAAGACATCCAGATGGCCAACAGACACATGAAAAAATGCTCCATATCACTCGGCATCGGGGAAATACAAATCAAAACCACAATGAGATTCCACCTCACACCAGTCAGAATGGCTAAAATTAACAAGTCAGGAAATGACAGATGCTGGCGAGGATGTGGAGAAAGGGGAACCCTCCTACACTGTTGGTGGGAATGCAAGCTGGTGCAACCATTCTGGAAAACTGAAAATAGAGCTACCCTATGACCCAGCGATTGCACTACTGGGTATATACCCTAAAGATACAAATGTGGTGCTCCAAAGGGGCACGCACACCCAAATGTTTATGGCAGCAATGTCCACAATAGCCAAACTGTGAAAAGAACCTAGATGTCCATCAACAGATGAATGGATAAAGAAGATGTGGTATATATATACAATGGCATACTATGCAGCCATCAAAAGAAATGAAATCTTGCCATTTATGATGACGTGGATGGAACTAGAAGGTATTATGCTTAGTGAAATAAGTCAATCAGAGAAAGACAACTATCATATGATCTCCCTGATATGAGGACGTGGAGATGCAACATGAAGGGTTTGGGGGGTAGGAAAAGAGAAAATGAAGGAAGATGGGATCGGGAGGGAGACAAACCATAAAAGACCCAATCTCAAAAAACAGACTGAGGGTTGCTGGGGGAAGGGGGTTTGGGAGAGGGTGGTGGGGTTATGGACATTGGGGAAGGTATGTGCTATGGTGAGTGCTGTGACATGTGTAAACCTGGTGATTCACAGACCTGTACCCCTGGGGATAAAAATACATTATATGTTTATAAAAAATTTTAAAAATTAATAATAATAAAAAGAAAAGGCTGTCTTACCTGGCATCTCTCTTAAGACTTGACCACGCTCTCCCTATCCCAAACAAGAACAGTAATTCCCACCCCCATCCCTCCCCACCCCATCCCTCATCCATAACCAGAGAAAATTTTCATTTGGAGAACACCAGCTTTTATTAGAGTCACTTGGGGGAAGGGTCTCCTTAGAGTCGGTCTGAGTGCTTGTTCTCGTTTCTGGGAGGGAGAAACCACGAGACTGCCTGGAATTGGCGGTGGGGAGTGGGAGGGTCCCGAGATGGTATCAAGACAAGTACTCTCTCCAGACACAAAGAAAGTGGGACTTTGCAGGACTCCAGGGACCACTGGCCTAATTTGATGCCCTGTTTGGAGATACAGTCCTCCCGCCCAGGCGACAGAGCACCCCAACACCTGCCACTGGGATCTTGAACTGGGAAACGACTACACCTAGTTTGATCTTTGCAGAGTTAGCACACAGGGGAAGAGGCATCCGAATCCTGGTTTTGCCACTTACTGGTTGAACTTGGGCCAGTTGCTTTGCCTGTGCTTAGTTTTTTCATATGTAAGATGAGGATAATAATAGTTTTTCTTCGTCAAAGTGTTGTTAGGATTTGTTAATACACAAAAAGCATTAGGAACAGGGCCTGGCTGATAGTAAGTGCTAAATCAGGATTGGCCACTATTATTCAGTATAATTGTTAATTACTGGTTATGTGATCTCTAGAAGAGATCACAATTCCTCAATAAATGGTGGATATGATGACATTACATTATTATTCATCAATTCTCTCTTTTTAAAAGATTTTATTTATATATTTGACAGAGAGAGACAACACAGAGAGAGCACAAGCAGGGGGAGTGGCAAAGGGAGGAAGAGAAGCAGGCTGCCCTGTTGAGTGGGGAGCCTGAGGCAAGGCTCAGTCCCCTCAAAGGGCTGGATTCCAGAACCCTGGGATCATGACCTGAGCCAAAGGCAGATGTTCAACCAACTGAGCCACCCAGGAGCCTCTATCAGTGCTCTTCTAAGAAATAGTCCCCAACCACCTGAGATCCTAGAGGTGTTTCATTCACGTCTATAGGTGTGTAACAAGACCATGATCACCTTAGAAGGAGAAAACGCAAGTCCTAGATTAAGGCCGTCATTAATTACGTACTTAATTTGTGGTAGGCAGTGTGAAAAACGCTCTGCAGTGAATTCTCAGGAGTAAATTCTCACAGTGACCCCATGGTGTGGGTACTGTCCTCATCCTTGTTTACATAAAACGAGGTTAAGAGAAGTTGGAAGGATTGCCCAAGTCACTGGTTGGTATGCACCTGGGCTGGGGACCGAGGAGGTCTGGCTCTGGGAACTTGACGTTCGCCCCTTAGCGCCACTGCCCCATCTCAGGAAACCATAGCCCAGGCTTGGATATGCAAAGGATGGGGCAAGGCAAGGAGGGGAAGACAGATTGCGGGGGAAGCACAGGGCTGGGTCTGTGGAATGTTGCCGGCGGTCACACAGTGACACTGTGTTCACCCTGACCAGCTGGCGCAGGAGGCATGGTGGGGGTGGGCACAAAGCCCAGCTGGCTGGGGTTGGAGGGTAGCTCACAGGAACAAAGGAAAGTGACTGTTCTCAAAGGAGCCAGAGTTTCTGCCATGACTCAGTCCCGACTATGCAGGACACGTCGGCCCTCACACAGCATGTTCCACGAGGCTTTGGGGTGATAGCTTTCATGAGCACGCTTCTGGAATTCAAGTGTAACTCTGCCCTATCCTTCACCCATCCTGCCTGCCTCAGCCAAGTTTTATCTTTGTACCTTCAATACAGACGTGCAGAGCAGTCATTCATTCATTCAGGGCACAGTCACTGGACACCCACTTGCATAGATATCTGGGAGCAGAATGACGGGATCATATGGCAGGCCTCTATTTACCTTTTTAAGAAATTGCCAGACTGTTTTCCAAGATGGTTGTGGCATCCCGTCTTATTTTCTTTGTAGCGCTTACCAATATCTGCAGATATTGCCTCTCCGTTTACTTGTTTGCAGTTTCATATCTGTCCCGCCAGCCAGACTGTGTCTCGCGTCCTCCGTGCTCAGCCCCGTGCCTGGCACACAGGAGGCACTCGGGGACTGAACCAGCACACACCCGCTGAACACGTATGTGCCCACCGCTTCCTCCCATCACAGGCACCTGGAAGACCTGCCAGCGGCCCCCACCCCTGCTTGTCCCCAGGTGCCATTAGGTGTCAGGATCTGCCC